TCTCTCTCTCTCTCTCTCTCTCTCTCTCTCTCTCTCTCTCTCTCTCTCTCTCACACACACACACACAATGGAGACGCACAAACATTCAGACACGGCGGAGCACCGCTGCCAACCCTTCACCGACGCCACATATACTTCCTCAGCTACATGGCCGTTCCGAGGCCGAGATTGTCGGTGACTCTGACTGAAGGAGGACCGTCGTCCGATGCCGCCGGAGTCCACCAATGTGACGAGGAAGCCAATCGGCGAGAAGCCAACCACCGAGAAACTCCCTCCTTAGCGCTGCCCGTTGCCGCGTATCATCACCATAGTGCTGCCAGTCTGAAACTCCGACCAGCTCCGCACTTTCTAAATTCAGATCGAACCTACCCAGCTCCGCCATCCGCCCAACCATCGCCGTTCAAAATTTCAACCGCCTTCTCCCAGCCGCACCTCCGCCCATCTTCGTCCATTCGAAGAATCAGCCGCACCTTCGCCGTTCAAAGGTTCAGCAACACCAGTCCGCCGCCAGTCCGCCACCAGTCCGCCGTCCATTGACACAACATCCGAACTCCCGATCGAATTTGTTCACCTAAAATCAATTAGGATTGTGGGATTTTATTTGAGAATTTGATAACTCTTAGGGACTTATTTGTAAATTAAATATTTTGATTATATTTCAATTAAGTTTATGGGTCAAATCTATAAATTATAAAAAGTTATAAAAAACATTACTTTTAAATATTTTTTATACATATATATTAAAATATTAATTAAAATGATTAAATAAAAGTAATACTAAATAAAATGATTAAATAAAAGTAATATAAAATATTTCAATTAAGTTCATGTTGCACCTTATAAATCGCACTTTATATAACAGATTATCGCACTTTATAAAACAGCACGTTGCACCTTATAAAACAACGTGTTTTAAATAACCAATCGAACTATATATTATCGCACTTTATATAGCAAAATATCGCACTTTATAAAACAACACGTTGCACCTTATAAAACAACGTGTTTTAAATATATATTAAACAATTTATTCCTCACACTTATACATCGATTATTTAAAATAAATATATATTGTAATATTATTACAATATTTCAATTAGGTATTAACTAAAATATTACAAATACTAAATATATTTATGTGTAAAAAAAATAAGTACACTTGGAATGCGCATTAATGTTAGACTGATTGCACATTGATGATTGTCTGATTGCACTTTAGTATTATACGAATTGCACAGTAGTGACTGATCGATTGCGCTATAGCGACTGAATCCAGTTGAATTCGTTTTTTGTGTTCTAATTTTATATCGGATCGATTATATATATTTACCTTTAAAATTTTAATTATTTTTTGTAAGATGTCAGCTTTATTTTTTTTTTCAAGTAACCGAAATAACCGAACGGACAAAATTATAGAAAAAAATAATATTTAATTTTTCAATGAAATTAAATAAAAGTTAGATAAAATATTAATGTGCACTTTATATAACATTAATGTGCAATGTAAGTATCATTAAAGTGCAATTTACATATCATTAATGTGCAAGTATTGAAATTTGTATAAATTATAAATTTAACCCATTGCCTAAATTGTAATTTATTAATATTTATAAAATTGCAATTCAATCCTCTAAACATATCAAATTTTCAATAAAAAGGCCAAATTCCAAAATGCACAAATCTCATTGCAAGTGCAATTCAATCCTCTGATGCTGAGTGACGGCGGGCTGATTGACGGCGAACGGGGGCCGACGAGACGGCGGCGGTGGTGGTTCTCGCCTGCGGTGACGAACCGCAACTCCTCTGGTGTGTACCGCGATGGAGACACAGTGGGCTGTTGCTCTGACTGCAGGTGGTGACGACGACGTTAGTGGCGGAGCTGGTGGTGGAGCTAGTGGCGGCGACGAGCATGTTGCTGCGACTGTAAGAATGTTGGTGACGGCGGAGGCAGATGCGAATGGCGGAGGCGGGGCGAGGCTGTTGTGACCGGACGGCTGACGTGACGCGGCGGACTGGTGGAAAAAGGCGGAAGCGAGGTGGAGGTTTGTCGACGGCAGCTATTGCTGTGGCCGTCGGGAATTCTTGCCGTGAGATTTGGAAGGGTTGTCGGAATCAGATGACGGTGGCGGCATCGGGTCTGTCGACGGCGGCGACATGACCGATTGGCTTGTTTCGGTGGTTGTGTGCTCCTGCGACTTGACTGTGAGTCGCCGGCGGGTGGCCGGAGTGCCGGACGTGAGAGAGGGAGATAGATCGGGTAGGAGATAGTAGAGAAGAGAGAGGAGAGATGGATTTTGGGTGGAGAGTTTTGGGTGGGGCCCACTTATTTGGTTTTTTGGTGCAATTACCCAAGTGCCCTTTCAGCTAATTATTTGTCCATTAATTATTGCTATAATTACAATTTTACCATTGTATGTTTGACCTTGTAACTGAATTTTGACTTATCCATGTTCATTGATCGTACCGATCCAATGGTCTCTAATCATTCTTATTTCCCGCATTAAGAGTCATTCTCATATGATCCTTTCTCTCTCTCTCTCTCTCTCTCTCTCTCTCTCTCTCTATATATATATATATATATATATATATATATATATATATATACTAGTTGGCTCACGTCGTGCACGCACGGCGGACTCAAATTTAGTCTAAAAATATAGTGAAAAATTGTCACAACCTGTAATGAGCATTTAAATCCATTGCCAATTTGTACACTGCTTGTTAAGAAAATAATCTTGGACCATAAAGGTCTCATTACACAGTTTTTGTGGCAGTTGTTACAGCTCATATTTTGGACAGTTGTTGTAGCTATTTACATATATTATGTCTGTTAATATAGGAAGAAAATAAGCATAATAACATGTGAATTTGTAATAACATCATACATTCCCACACGAATTTTATATAATTTTTCAACAAATTTGATCATAATATCATGTTCAATAATATCTCACATTTTTCAACAAATTTGACCATAATATCATGTTCAATAGTATCTTACAGTAATCACAAAATGAGTTATTTTTTTCCTTTACCATGCGTGAACATTAAAGTAGTTTGTGGTTTGGATTCTTTGTTAATCATTTTTTGTTGTTTTTTCGTTGGCTTCCCGTAGACCACATTGTGTAAAGTTCATAATGAAAAATGCATAATTAATAATCACATATGAATGATAAATAAATAAATACATATTAAACAATAATTGTTTCCTTTTCTCGTCCTAGCATTAGCATCACAGCCATATGCATGTTCAACCAAAAATCTTTGTTCTATTGGGCCAATGTTTAAAGCACAGATCTGAAAGAAAAATATACAAAGTAACACAAAGTTGGTACCTAAAGTTTATTTCACTAACCTACGTCACTGAATTTGGTCTTGTCCAAATTCTAATTAATGTGAACCATCAACCTTTTCCTTCGAAAAAAACCATCTCTTTTAGACTCACATAGTATTACCATATGTCATGCTATCAAGCACCATAATCCAAGGTCTTCAATATGGATGCATCATTTCAAACCATTTTTATAATTTACGGGCTAATTACCAAAGTTGTCAAAACCGGACCGGTGAAGCTACTGGTTTAATGGTTCACTGGTCCGAACCGGTTGAACCGTTTTAATTAATATATAATTTTTGTTTATTTTGTATGTATAATATGTAATTTTATATTTTTTATCTTTAATTTTTAGTGTATAATGACATATTTTTAAATATATAAAGGGAAAAATATATAAATAATAGTGCATATTATAATTATTTTAGCTAACATGCTTGATTGATAGAAAAGTAATCTTCCGACCTTGAATATATAGAAATTCTTTGATTTTGTTTTCTTAGAAAGGACATGAGAGATGCTTGAATGGTTATAGTTATATTTAGTCTCTTTAAATTTGTCGAAATTAAAGACAATGCATATATGAAAATAAATCAGTTATGCAATATGAAAACTCTGAAAAAATAGTTAAGGAAATGATGAACAATAGTTGAGGGTTATTGCTATATTATTCAAGTAGCTAAAATACTTTCATATCTAAGTACTCAATTACGAATCATGAATCAGGAAAATGTACTTGTGTACGATGATGCAATGCTGGAATGTTCTTCCATAGATCATTTTTAATTTGTCAATTAATATACTAAATAAGCACTGGTGAGAAACATGCTAAAAGACACCAATCGTGCACAAGATGAACCGAAACACTTGGAGTTGATCATACCATCTTAAACGCTGTCAATAACAAAAATCGCAACCTAAAAACGAAATAAAGATATTATTGAGGAGATTGCGTCAGTCATGCTTTATACAAGGATGAGAGGAAACTAACTTTGAGAGGGTGGAGGTCAGCCTTGAGATTGAGGGAGACACGCTCATTATCTTCATCCAAGATGGTTGTAAGTTGATTGCTATTGTTGTAATCATCTTCCATTTTCCCTCCAATCGATTCCTATGTACCTCCGAAGCCCTAATAGCTTCTTCTATTAAACGTCCTATCAATTGCCATGAGCTATAGACATAATAAAAATGACAAAAGTGCCAGAATATAAATCGACACACTTAAGTACATGAATAAATGTGATATTATATAAAAGACGTAGCATACTAAGAACACTATGATTTCTAAACACTCCATTTTAGTCTCTTGTCCAGCAATTTGAGTTACAAAGTTTAAAATGAATCTTACTTGTTCGTTTTTCAGAGGAGTGAGCTCTCCTTTTAATGTCTCCATTGCAGCTTGAAGTCGTGCTGCTTCACCACAGGAAGCTGGATCCATCTCTGAAATCTTGGTATCCGACTCAAACCTAACCCAACCAACTTTTACTTTTGTAAAATAAACTCTGACTAACCAAAAAAAAAAAAGAAAAAAAAGAAAAAAGAAACAATCAAAACTCAACTTGTTTTATATCTAAGTGCACCCCAAGTATCTGGGAAAATAAATATATTCCACACACCAAAGAGAAAAATGTTTAGAAATACACAACATACCAACCACTCTTTGTGTCCTTGCCAGCCCTCTTGATTGAGCCTGTTAACATCTATAACGAAACCAATACCCGCCTTTTGTTGCCGCTAGCGTACGGTCGTCACGTCAACCCACCCTTTAAAAACCGAACCAAACCCGCCTTCCCCAATGACACTGTCCAGGCGGCAGTTCTTTGTAGCTGCCTTGAGTTCACCGAACTTGAAGCTCTTCATGTTGGATGACTGAAGTATTCTGTTCTAGAAGTCATGGGCTCGGATGCCGGACACTTTTGCTGCTCGAGTAGCTTGACTCTGGCCCATCTCCAGTCATCGGTTTCGATGATGAAGTCAAACCTACATTTGGAATAGAGAACAAGATAGAGAACTATGAGTACAGTAGATTTCAATTTAATGGATTTGAAGCAAGAAATTAGATGAAGCTTTCAATGAATGAATTGTACTTACGGAGAAGAGCTTGTTTTTCTAAATGTATTCAAACACTCTCTACAGCCATGATCTGGTTTAGTTAAGTTAATTATATTGGATTTCAAGATTCGAAGAAAAAAATTTGGGTCAAAATGCCACCTCAAAGCAAGTTGATTAAATAACCTACATTTTAAAGAAAGGTCTCATTCACCACGATACTGATAAATTTCTCTGTGTTTCAAATAAGAGTACTGGTCAAAGAGGTATTACTCTAGCAGGATATTTTTTACGTTTTGAAATGCCTATGATAGTTCTTTTTTTATGATCGTTTTTTTTTTTCAGGCATCCTCACAGTCCAACAAATATAAGTGTTATATTATACAAATCAACATAAACTAAAAAATGACATATCATAACATAAATATGCATTTTTATTACAAGTGTATGATGAGTCGACCCGGCTAAAGGGTACCTCCGACTTGCACCAAAAATTGTGAAAGCCCAAATGTAAAGAGTATAGTAATGAGATTGAAATTTTCATGGCAGCTACAACATCCCATTGATAGTATAACATTGAACATAATGAAAGAGCAGCAGACAAAGTCACAATAATGATAATGAATACGCAAAAGGGAATTCTTGCAAACTTTCAAGAGGGACACACACACACAGAGCTTTTTTAGCTTTTTGATGAGAAAAGAGACTTTTTTTAGTTTGTAAACACTCACTGAAAAAGGTAAAAAAATGTATTCAGGAAACAATAAAGCTCTTCTGTAAAACAAAAGGGATAATGTTATTTTAAAATAGTGATTCACTACTGAATATAGAAAAGAAAAATATAAATATAGCTTCCATTTTTCCTGGCCATTACTAAGTGGAAATAAGAACAGAACAGGAAAAATTGATATTAAAAAGATTTTAAACAGTTGCCTGTATCAGTCTGAAGTGCTCTCAGCCTTTATCTCATTGCTCAAACAAATCCCCGTAAAAAAATACCTTCTAAAAATTTCAGACTAAAGCTTAGATTTTATATATTCTTTTTTAGTTTCTTTTTACTGTTAGTTCTTAATGCAACAAGATTCAAACCCAACAGCACTTTCTTCACTTCACTTTTGGCAAAAGGGCTCTTTAATACAAACCCAAAAAAAACAACCTTTTTCCTTTTCTTCTTTATCTTCTTTTATTTTCCCCACAACAAATGCACACGGAACTGAAACAAGCCTTACTACTAGCACAGACCTAATGTAAAACCTCTCAATTTACTCTCTCTCAGTTAGGTGTTAACCCCCAACGATACAGAGGGGACTCCTTCTCTCTCTAAATTTTTATCTTTCACTGTCTAATAAAGTTATGAAAAATGTTTCTTAATTGTCTAAACAAACAAAATGAAACAATAAGAATGCAATCTTTAAGGATAAAAAGGTACCTTTGGGGATTTTGTATAGGGAGACTTTCCAAGACCTGTGTGTTAAACAAGACCTATGTCTTTTCTAATTGCATTCCAAAAACACTATTATATTTTTTCAATTAATATATACATATTTAACTTAATATATTTACACTGAAATTATCAAAAGGATACCTGTTTGTGGCAGTCCCCATTCTTTCTTGTGTTCAACTTCAACCTAAAGAAGTAAAAGCTGCTATTGATTGTATTTTACATCAACCGACGCAGAAAACGAATGCAATAGACAGCAACATCACCTGAGATTCCTGCAATTGTGAAGCAAAAAATTATCAACCAAAAATTGAAATGCCAACATACAGGCACTTCTTCATCCATACGGCACATCGAACCTTCCCAAACATAAAGTATCAATCTACATGGTACGACTTGGGAATATAAGTTCTGAAGAAGAGTCTCAACACGTAACAATATCTCAAGTCACAAAACCAATCAACAACCCATAACGAAAAAATATTGGAAGATTCAAAGATGTAGCCATCAATACCTGAAGTGGAGAGGTGCAGAGAGACCACCGGGTAGGAATCGGGTACTCCGATGAGCAGTTGCACCGGGACAAAAGTGGTGCGCGAGCGCTGAGCCGGCGAGCCAATTTGCAGAGCAGCAGAATGAATAGGTGTTCGATGACCGAAGTGGGGGCTAATTATCTCACAGACGTGTGACCGGAATTGTGGCTGTAGTAGGGCTTTCCGGCGAGGGTGAGAGGAAACACGCGAGAGGATTGAACTTCAAGGTGGCAAAACAGTGTTCGACAGTGGTGGTGGCGATGGATTGTTGGAGTGAAGGCGAGTCACCGAAAAGAGAGCTGGACAGGTTGGATATTAGAGAGAGGAATGGATACTTTCTTCAATTCACTCCAGTCAGTCGGTGATGTTGCGTGTGCGGGAAAAATGGAAAAGCCATACTTGATAGAAGACACACGTCTCGGCAGATTTCTAGGGAGCAAATCCCGTGACAATATCTCCAGCCTTAAGGAAAATTACGCATACAACCCTAAAAAAAACTGAATACACAAGGTATTTTAGTCAGAACACTGAAAACTACAAAATACATCCAATTTACCATAGTGTCCTTCCAATTAGTGTAAGATATTGGTTTGTGTTTATTCAAAAAAGGGCATTTAAGTAGTTACACCAAAAAAATGCCAAATGTCAACTACACAACGTGCCACTTGTCGCCATTTAAAGATATGTAACTTCTTCATATATATATATAGTAGATATATATATATAGTAGATATATAGTATCAACTACACAACGTGCCACTTGTCGCCATTTAAAGGTATGTAACTTCTTCATATATATATACTAGTTGTCTCACGTCGTGCACGCACGGCGAACTCAAATTTAGACTATTAAATGTTTAGCACCCAAAAGAATACTTTGGCACCCTTCTAAGTAGTGAGGACATGAAATGAAAAATGTGATGGTGTGTAAAATATCCAGCATAGAAGTTCTGTTTATTATATGGCAAAATTAATCGCATGACTAATGAAAGAGTGGGTATATAGCAAAATTAAGTCTACAGCCGTTGAAAATTGAGACGGCTAGGCCATTTTGTAGTTTATTTGAGATTAATAACTAACTATTTGTTTGTTTTGGTAAACCGGACCAAAAGAGATTTTCGCCACTGGCATCCCTTAATCCATGACTTAAACTTCGAACATGTTCATTTGCATAATATTGTGCTATAAACTTATGTAAAGTTATTTCTACATTGCACTTAGAATATTGGTAAAAATTAATTTCTATCATAATAGATAAACTGTTTACATATGACGGGTAAAAAATAAATTAAGTTTCATACATATCTTGTAGGTGCGTTTGATAAATATAATATATGATGAGTAGGTTAAAAAAAATGCACAATTGAAGAAAAAATATGACAACCGCCAAGAACTGAAATTATTGTAACTACATCACCCATCATTATACTCCCCATACCTATTTAGATTTTTGGTCACACACATACTTGCTCCAACCATTTACCATCACATCATGTATATACTTACAACAACAAAAAAAAACCAAATCTGTAGCAGCATATATATATATATATATATATATATATATATACTTTCAAAAGAATGAGGAAAAACCAACAAGAACATATTCACAGCAAAGGTAAATTGTTAAAGGAAAACACTAATACTGTCATAACGACAAAAATGAGATAATGTTTAGCTAGACTCTAGAGCACCTAAAAGCAACACTCGTTTGTTAATTTTTACCAATTGACACTATTTAAACAAAAGTAAATGAAAAAACAAAAGAAAAAAGAATATCAAAACTGCTCATCAACAAGTGGAAAATTTGTAGGAAGCTGCAGTTTTCCTGGCAACATCAATGGTGGAAACTCAAGATATGTCAGACTAACTCAAGAAGCAACACAAAAGATTAAGTGAAAAATAAAGATCAGTCTAATGTGTGATTTACAATTGCAGTTGATTATCCTATTATAACCTTTAACAAGCAACATAATCCATGCTATAACTTGAATTGCTATTAAAACTGATGAAGCATTAAACCCAAAATGTTTAATGCCCATCAGTGCACATATGCAGCAAATCTTACAGATTATCTTATTTCTTGAAGAAGTACTGCTAGTTGATGCCAGCTTGTGAGTAATAAAATAGCAAAACTTACTCCGATCATATCGCTCACATTTTTAGCTTTTCATCATTTCGGCCCGTCTGCGACCGGAGAATTTGCGCTCTTCGTCTACATCCAGAACCCTAAATAATGTCCATTATCAAAGTCAGTCACTTGTTTGGATTAGCATATCAAAACAATAATAAAAAAACGTAATCTTTGCAACAATAGAACTCCGAAAGCCAGTAACAGGATAATGAATTCGTACAAGATACCTACAAATCATAATCGAAGCTCAGTCTTGAAAAGCATTACGCATCAAGTTAATATAACGAAATAGAAAATAAAAAATGCATATTTCTGTGCACTCCAGATGAAATAACAAAGGATTTATTAGCTGGAATTGAATTGATTTTGTTCTAAAAAATAAAGAAAATATTAGGGCTTTCGAATGACAAAATGTTAACAGTACCTGAGTCCGTGTAGAACCTTGGCATTAAAAGGGTCTTTCTGATTTCTTGTTTCTGGCTTTTTTTCTGGCAGCGGCGATCTCCTTCGTGAGCCAACAGTCTTAATCAGCACCACTCGCTGCTTAGGTGGTCACATAACTGAGATGCCACCTCCGTCGGTCCTAGCTGCCGACCGCTTGGTTGCTGGTTGCCTCCGCTCACGGAAGCAGTCAGCCGACCTCCGTCGTCGAATACTACCCAAAAATTAGAAAGATGTCACCTTTGTGCTCATAACTACATGTAAGAACAGAATAATTGTAATTAATCTAAAGTCTAAACAGAATGGAATCAGTTCCCAGATTCATCTTATTTTTGGCATCAAGGCTGCAGTTGTGAAAGCTAATCATCGCAACTGGGACATCTTTGTTGCATTCTTCACTGCAAGATAATCGCACTTCGCATAAGCACAATAAAATGATAAAAAGGTAATGCCACAAAAGGAAATCCATACATAGGGTGGGGATGTTAACTCTAAAAAAGCAAGGTAAGATGACACGTAACATAAATCCAATATCAATCAACCCATCTATAATGAATATTTTTTTCTTTTTTTTTCTTTCTAAAGGATAGAAAAATAATAGCAAGTTAAAGTTCCCAATTTCTTGAGATTCACACAGAAACATTCAAAAGAAAAATAAATATTACCATTTAGCAAAGAGCTTCTGTTGTGCTTCTTAACAATTCTCGAAGTATTGGCCAGCAAATTTCTCTCGGCCACGCTCCTACATGGAATGAAGCTTTGTGTGCATATGTAGACAACAACAAATCTGAAATTATTAACCAAAAAATGAAGGGAAAAAATTATTAAAAAGGGAGAAAGAGAGAAATATACGCACTTTGAGTGTATCTAAAAGTAGAATTAGGCGCAGAGAAAAGAGGAAGAGGAGATGGAGTTCAAGGTAGTACCGACAACATTGCGCTGTGCGTCAAATGCGGGGTCGCCGAAAATCACGCCTCCGCCGCCCCCAGAATCCTGTGCCAGAAATGCTTCAATTCGGTGAAGAGTCGCGCCGCCACCGTGGATAAATCCTTCAGATCCAGTCCGCCCGCGAGGTTTTCGACGGAGGGGAGCTCGGATATGCCCCAGCGAGCGGAGATCCAGAGAAGGAGGCGTCGGTTGAGTCTGCGGCCTAGGGCTTCGAAGAGGCGGTCTACGCCTACACTTACGAAGGGTGTGGTGGAAGAGAGAGTTCATCACCCGCGTTTAACTCTCATTTAGAGGATATGAGAATTGAGGAGAGAAAATGAAGGGCAACATTGGTTTTGTGTCTGAAATTGCGGTGGGATGTGATGCTTGCGTGTTTGACGAAAGCTTGTACGTAAAAACAAAGACAGAAACGTGACAACCGAAAAACCAGGCCAAGAAAGCAAAAAAGGCATCTCTGCAAAAGTCGGAGAGTAAGTTACGAAAAAACACAAAGAAAATTATTGGAGCACAACAAAAACAAGGGTAAATAAGGCATAAAAAAAGCGTCCATAAGGAACGAAAAACAAAAAGGAGAAATGCTAAAGTCCCGTTACGGTACCATCCCGTCAAGTGTTTTAACCGTTGGATCACATGTAGTTTTTTATAAGATAGATAATCCAACAGTTTAAACACTTAACTAACGGGATGATACCGTAACGGGACTGTAATCTTCCCAAACAAAAGTGAACCCAATGTCGCCGAAGTAATAAAGTGTGAGAATTGTGGACACGTGTCGACCAACAAAAGTGTCCAAAATGGACACTTGTCAACACTACAAACGGTCTCACTCCTTCATATATAGATAAGAGAGATAGTAGATAGAGATAGAGATAGAGATATATATTTTTATAAAAGAAAAATTATTTTTTTAGTTTTATTTTTAAAACTTAAATTTATTAGTTAAAACTCTTGTAATGTACTACTATTACTAGACTTAATTATTTTGAAATCGAATGACGCAAACTCTATTGCACATTCGTAATTATTTCGCAACCAATGATAATAATATCCCAGTACTCTGAATGGATACTATGAAATCTGCTAGCATAAATGTCTAAAAATCTTAATAATATTATCTTAATAAGTTTGTAATCCATGATCAGAATATCCCATAACTCTGAATGGATACTATGAAATCTGCTAGTAATAATTTCTAGAAATCTTAATAATATTAACTTAATTAGTTCGCAATCCGTGGTCAAAATATTTAAGAAATAATTTAAATATTGGTATAAGAATCTCAAAATTTGTTATCATAAGATCTTCAAATTTTTTGGGATATTTCAATTCCCAAAGGTTTACATGTGTGTTTACGAAATATCCACTAATAGTAGGTCAAATAATTAATTTTTTTAATCAAACTTACTAAAAAATAAATTTTCAACAACCTTTTTATATTATTATAAATAGAATAATAAATTAAAATCAATTTAAAATAATAAAACGCGAAATAACTAGCATTCAATATAATTTTCAAATACAGAACCAATTTTGGAAGGATAAGTACCAATCATTTTTGTTTTTATCTTTTTGCCTAAATATTAATACCGTTTAAAAACAGATATATGTATATATATTTGAAAAATAATTTTTTATTTTGATTTTTTAAATTATAATTTATTAATTAAAATTCTTGTAATATACTACTATTACTAGTTTTAATTATTTTGAAATCAACTGACGCAATCTCTATTGCACCTTCGTAATTATTTCGCAACCAATGATAATAATATCCCAGTACTCTGAATGGATACTATGAAATATGCTAGCATAAATGTCTAAAAATCTTAATAATATTATCTTAATAAATTTTGTAATCCATGGTCAGAATATCCCATAACCTTGAATGGATACTATGAAATCTGCTAGCAATAGTGTTTAAAAATCTTAATAATATTAACTTAATTAGTTCGCAATCCGTGGTCAATATATCCCAATCAATACTCTGAATGGATACTTTGAAATATGCTAGCAAAAATGTCTAATAATCTAAAATCTAAATAATATTACCTCGTAAGGTAACATATCCAAATAATATGAATGCGTACTTCCAAAATATGCCGACAAAAATATCAAAGCAATTTCAATAATAATATTGTTCAAATATAATCACATAACCTGCATCTATAAATATACCCGAGAAAATAAGTTTTTATCATCACAAACCCAAAAAACAAAATGGCTCATCCTTATTGGAGACCTTATCCCCCTTGTCATGGCCTGTGCCCAGATCGTCTATGCTGCAGTTTTAATCACAAGTACAAGGTGGCGTGGCCTGAGCTGGTTGGTGCTGAACCAGAAAAGGCAAAGGCTATCATTGAAAGTGACAATCCCTATGTATCAGCCGTTATTGTGCACAGAGGGGAGGGAGTAATCGATGATTTCTGCTGCAATCGAGTTTGGGTCGAACTTGATGCAAACAATCGTGTCCGTTTTGTTCCTCAAGTTGGTTGATGACTAAATATTCTTATATATTGAGATTATTAGTGGCATAAGAAATAAATAAATAATAAATAAAGACCGTTTGGTTGTTCTTATCTTTGTCTTAATCATTCTCATTTTCGATTGCATTCTATAATGAAGTCGCAGTCACAAGTTCAATTGTGGTCTTAACATGCTTAATAATTTTACTATATATGTTGTCTGTGGTAATAAATAAATAATGTGGATGCTTCGTTTTTAAAACCATATGGACTGCTTGTGGCTATTGTTCTTTAATTGAAATATCATTGTCTTCCGATTTCATCAGGCTCAGGCTTCTGTGATGTGGCTATTGAGTTTTGTTGGGTGTGGAGGTTCGGAAAATTGGGTTTGTTCTATTAGTTTCATCACAGAGATTTATCCTTTTGTTTTACAATTTTGCGTTTGGCTATTGACAAAGAAAGACAATCGGTAGAGTTCAGCTCGAGATCGATTGAAATCAAAATGCTTGAAAGATTGATCGAGCTCGGTTCGTGTTCGGCTCATATTTCAAGTAAAATTATCATTAAATGCATATATCAAAGTATTGTAATATTTTATATAAGGGGTATTTTTATAATTCACTGCATATCTCGAGCCGCTCGCCCTACAAGCCGAGCTTTGACTCCAACGCTCACGAGTCGCTCGTTTCGTTTTCAGCCCTAATTGCACCCTTTTTATTTTAAATATAAAATTTTTAGCAAACATCCGTGTAATACACGGGTACTGTACTAGTAATGAAATAAAACACAAAAAAAAAACCTCAAATCTCGGAAGGTGCAATTACTAGTAATGAAATAATAATAAAAGAATTGTTTCAATTTTCAAAATTTTTCTTAATAACTATATTACTACATATATTTAAAATAACATTCATCACTTATATGGGTTACCATTTAATATATTTTTTTAAATATATATATATATATATATTAGAATTACTATTTACTAAAAATAGTAAGCAAAAAAATCTGGGTATATTACATTCTATTTTTAGAATGTTTTTCTATTTTTTTAATAAAAAATTAGGCCGCTTTTAATGCTACCATAAATCATGAAATTTGTTATATTTAAATCTCAAAAATTGAAATAAAAAAATCCATCTTTATGTAAGTAACAAATCTATAATAATATATGCTATGACAAAGGCAACACGTTAGATTAGGGAATAATTTGAGTATTTGTCGGCAGATAAAGCAAGATTAATGAGATTAAAATCAATTACCTAATTAATTAGTATATGAATAATGAAGATAAATGATTATTCATTTTTTTTTAATTAGATTTATGAAGAAAAATTTAAATTTTTGCCAATAAGATTGTGAATGTATATCAAATAATATTACTACAAACCTAACAATTTAAATAATATTATTACACATCTGATATTTTAATTTTCAACCATTTTAAATTAATATTTTATTGTTTTATATCATATTAATTTTTATAATTATATTTTTATTTTATAGTTTTTCATCATTTGAAAATTTTTCAACAACATAAAAATTTCTGAAATTTCTATATAGGTTTATGTATTATATTCCAATGCAAGGAATAATAATTCTTTCTAACAAAATGTTCCAAATTATGTATTTATATAACTATAAAAAGATTTGGTATTTACTTGAAATAGTTACTAAAATCCCGCCAAAAATTTCATAGAGGGGCCAAAACAATTCTGGATTTCTGCTGCAATCAAGTTTGGTCCATCTTGGTGATAACAATCGTGTCGAATATGTTCCTAAAGTTGGTTGATAGACTAAAATATTCTTATATACTATATTTATTATATTGGAATAATAAATAAATAGACCGTTTTGGTTGTTCTTATCTTTGGTTTTCGATGGCATTGTATAATGAAATCGCAGTCACAAGTCCCATTGTGGTTTCTCACATGGTTCATAATATAACTATCTAGGCCACGTTTACTTCGCGGGATGGGACAGGATAATTAAAATTGTCCTGGATTATCCTGTGTTTACCTTGAGGGAACGGGATGAGATTTGTGTGATGTGGCGCACATGTGGCTGTGGGTCTTACTTCTATATCCGCTATTTGCCGATTAATTCTGTCCCGCCTCCCCCATGAGATAATTTAATCCTAGACCCGGTATGACCATTTTACCCTCAATTTTGGACTTGAAAAGATTAAAATACCCCTTCTTAATTTAATTACCGATATACCATATAAAATCTGAAACTGCCATTTGCCCTCTTTCTTCCAAGAGCTTTTAATTTGTCGGGAAGAAGGCTATCAACATTGGTGGCAGTGGATATTCATCATGCCAAAGGTAAGGTCTTAGAATTAATTTGAGATTCCATTCGTGCAATTTTAAACCATAGTGGTCCATTAAATCGGATTCTTTGATTGCTAATTGTTTCTTTTTTCCCGCAAAAACCCCAGTTCATGGAATTCGGTCTTCAGTGAAGGTGACGGTAATCTTCTATTCATTCAGTTATCCTAAAATGGGTTTGTTAATTCAAGCTCATACATATTATGAAGGTATGTTTTTTTGTTTATTTTTTCGAATTATGTTTTTAATTTTTTTTTTTNGTTTTTAATCTTTTTTTTTTTACGCAAGCGTTATCTGCAGAGTGAAGCAGTCGTCGTCGCCCCTCTGTGCAAGTGGCCGGCGGATTTCTGGCGAACAAATTTGTGGAATGGATTTTGAAATTGGGAAAAAAGGTCGCCGACGAGGAGTGTTGAATTAGGCAGATGATAATAGTGTATTGGATGAGGGAGGGTATATTTGGCTTTTAATTCCACAACAGTTAAATTTATCACGTGTAGTAAACACATGATTGAGATTGCATTAAATTAGGCAGATGATAATAGTGTATTGGATGAGGGAGGGTATATTTGGCTTTTAATTCCACAACAGTTAAATTTATCACGTGTAGTAAACACATGATTGAGATTGCATTAAAATCGTTTTGTGCTTACGTGGAAAGGAGATGGGACTAATGTGTTCAATCCCATCCCAGGATGTAAACGAGGCCCTAGTGTTTGGTAATAATGTGAATGATTTGTTTTTAAAACCATATGGACTGCTTGTGGCTATTGTTCCTTAATTAAAGGACCCTTGGCTATTGAGTTTTGTTGGTAACTAATGATAATCCTTTAGCCTTACCTTTGCGTTCAGTTTTGCTGGTTTCTTTTGGATCCCAAAAGAACCAAAAGATCTATAAGCTAAAAGTTCTATTAATATGGGTCCCAAAGTTATAGCTCAACTATGAAATCGCGGAAAGATAACCATTACATAACTACAAAATGATGGGAAAATCAAATTAATATTGCAATAACAATTGAGGTGACGAAGATGAAATTCCTAAATCAATATTTTTTTTTTAGAGGATGAATAGTAGGCAGGCTCATTTATATACCTGATATTATAGTCTATTATTGTGCCTTGTACAGAATTGTTCTTTAAATGCCGCTTCTGTATTTCATAGCTCTGAGCAGTAGCAATACCACATGGATCCCACGTCATTAGCATATAAAAATAAAAATTGAAATGCTATTTTTTCTATGATAAATGTCAATCATCCACAGTCAAGTAAGACCAGGTCCAACATTACATAAACCAAAGAAAAATAACTAATAAAAAATAAAAAATGACTGATGAGAAAAGGCCCCTACAAACTCCAGTAGAACATTTTACAGACAATGCTACAAATAAGAAAAGCTTTGCACTGTGCTAGCTCTACTGAATAGGAAATGTATCCTTAAAATATACTGAGGAAAACAAATAACTTAACTCTCGTGTATTTAAACGTAAATTATAAGCAAGGCGACTAAAATGTCATCTTTCACAGGACAGAGGCATCCTCAGAATATTATACATTTTTATCGAAAGTTGAGAAAACTCGCTGAACAAACACATATTTCTGTCTTTTGTCCAAACCAAAACTGACGCTGGAAGATCCTTTTGCTGCTGGTAAATCCTTGTTATTCACAAAAAGGGTCCCAAATAATTGCCCTCACATCTTATGAAAGACAAAACGCAACTCGTCTTTTCAAACACATTTGGCCTTCTCAGCTTGGAAAAGCGTTAGTTCTCATGGGATTTAAACTTCAACTCAAGCAGGTTGAACACTCAGTCACTGTCACTGTTATACCTACCAGCTGGTTTAACAAATACAGGGATGAAATATAAATAAATAAATACTGTTGCATCATTTCGAAGATAAAAGGAATAATTACAAAATTATCCCATATGGTATCCTAATTATAAGTCAATCAAGTAAATTTTTCAGAAAAATATACAGATGTATGTCCTTGTCCCTTAAAATTAGTATGATATGTTAACTAATATCCCAAGTCAAAAGGTGCAAAAAGTTTAATAATAAGAATGTATACCCCTTCAGGTTTGATTCAATTACAAATATATCCTAGACACCCTCTAGAATTACTTAAAAATACCCTTGACGATGTTTTCTTATGCATACCCTCCTCGAAACAGAAAATATTCCAAAAGCCCTTTCACATTTATATAAACATTGCAGTAGACCACATATATTAATGGGTTAATTGCCTATAAAATCATCACCTTTTGTATAATTGCAAATAAAACTCAACCTTTTTATCTTTGCAAATAAATACCAAGACTTTATTATGTGTTGCAAATTTGTCTCAAAACTATATTCCGGCCAATCCTTGCTGACGTGTCCGATCAGAAATCTTACGTGGTACTGATGAGGCTTGTGTGGCACTCAACTTTTTAAACTCATCACCATGTTTTTTTCCTCATCATATGCCAACAAATTAACCAAAATCAAGTTCACCCCCAACAAAAATCGAGTTCATCATGTTGCTCCATTCTTCATTTACAAAAATCGAGTTCACCCCCAATTGAAAAAAAATAAAAAAGAAAAAAAATTACAGCGATTCTTCTCCATGGTGCAATTCTTCACCCCTAAAAGTCGAGTTCACCCCAACATTTTGAATACATTTACGAGCTCACCCCCAAATTCTGAAAAATTGGACAGAGGGGGCAATTTTCGGGCGCGTAGAGGCGATTTTAAAGTTCCGTGAAATATAGAAACGATAGGGTTGGAGGTTTCGTAACTTTCGTCGGGTAAATTCTAATTCTATTTTGCATTTTGAGGGTTTCAATTGTGAAGGAGTTCAAATTTAGGGTTCTTGAATTTTGGCGTTTTATTTGGGGGAATTAGGATCTTGGTTTTATTGCCACACGACTTGGAAGATGATGTGGAAAAATAGGTCTGGCACGCAAGCCTCATCAGTAGGGGTGTTCACGGTCCGGTTTTAACCGGAAAAAACTGTCAATCCGGACCGCGGATCGGTTAAATGGTCAGTTAAAAAAGCCTTAAAAAATCCGGTGGTTAATTTTTTTAAAAATCCGGAATAACCGGTCCGGTTAACGGATTACCTGCGGCAAACCGCCGGTTTAACCGGACCGGTAGATATTAAAAAACTATAACAAATATATATATACATTCAGTCATTTACTATGGCCGACAAATACAATACATTCACTATGAATGCTTTGCTCTTATTATTTTAGGTGTATAAACTGACTGAGAAATGAATGTTTGCTTGAGTTCAGTTTGCATAATTAATCTTCATCATTTTTGTATTTTATGTTTATGGGAGGAAATGTGCATTTTTATGCTTATGAGACGAATTGTGTACTTTTTATTTCATTATTGTTGTTTTTCTTAATTTTTAAGCCCAAATAATCTCTTTAGAACCCAAAATTGAAAAACAAAAATTAAGCCCAAAATGAAAAAAATAAAAATTGAAGGCCCAAAACAAGTTTTGGATTTAACCGGTTAACCGCCAAACCGGACCGTCCAATGCGGTCCGGATTGTGGTCGGTTAAAAAATAAAACCGGTCCGGTTATGGACAAGAAAAAAATTAACCGTTAGGTCCGGTTTGGTCATGGTTTGGGCTAAAACCGGACCAATCCGGACCGTGAACACCCTTACTCATCAGTACCACGTAAGATTTCTGATCCGACACGTCAGCTTGACTTGGCCAGAAAATGATTTGCATACAAATTCGCAACACATAATAAAAGTTTGGTATTTATTTGCAAAGCTAAAAAGTTTGTTTTTTATTACCAATTATATAAATAAAAGGTTGTGGTTTTATAGGCAATTAAGCCTAAATTTAACAGCACATCAAACAACAAGGTATTTTCCCAAAGTCCATAAGTTGACTGGGGGTTATATATGCAATAAAGTAAAAGCCTTTAGTTGTGGTTTTTGTAGTAATCCTGTGCAATTAGAGTAATATATGTAAACCTCAAAAGAATAAATGAAACAACATAGAAGATGCATAAATATATGTTACCTCCGGAAGGTCTTTTTCCTTCCATGGCCTCTCTTTTGTGTTGGCAGCTTGAGCATAGGAAAGGACCATCCCAAGGTCTCAATTTTCTAGTGCCCACGTGTATGGAGATACCTTCTCCTGGTTTTATTTCCACTCCGCAAACCGCACACACGAACAGCTTAAACATGTTACACACCGGGTACTTAGCATCCAACCTGTATTTATATTGTATTCAGAGTATTTTATATGTTCCGTACCTAAAAATAGATACTCCCTCCTATTCATAATATATTTCGTTTTGAGAAGTTGTGCAGTAATTAAGAATCTTTTTTTTTTCTTTTTTGTTTTGTGTCAATAATAACCCTTTTTAATGAAAATAGAGATGGATGTTTAGGGAAAAGATGAAGAGTGAATATGAAAAGACGTAGTGTATTTATTAACTAAATGAGTATAATAATGGTAAAATATGTACAAAAAATCCAAAACGTCATTTATTTGGTTAATGGTTGATAAAGCCAAAATGACATTTAAAAAGAATAGAAGGTAGTATAACATGTGTATGTATTTCCTACATATCATCAGATTATTATTATTATTATCATAATAAGTAGAACCTTTCTGAAAGAGAAGCGGAGCCTTCCTCAAAGAGTTCCTCCACGAAATCGGGTTCGCTATACTCTTCCTTGTCAACCTGAGAAGATGATTCTGCGTTTTTTCTACGGAAAATGGCCTTGAAAACCCGTTTTCCTTGTTTCTTGGGAGGTGGTGGGGCCTTTTGCAGGTCCTCCGCCTTCTCAGCCGCTTGTTGTATATCCACAACAATACACGTCGTGTCGTCTCGAAGACCCTTAACCTCCACAGCTTCCTGCACCAAACCAAAGAAACATAAATTACCAAGTTCAAAAATATGAATGAAAACAAAAGGAAAAGGAACAACAAGTTCAAATAAATGTTGTTACTTTGACAATCTGTGAAGCTGCAGCATCAGCTGGCATTCCTCGACAGCACTCGAAGGCTGTTTCGGCAGATAAAGCGTCCCAAACACCATCACTTGAGATTATAAGCCTCCCACCACTTGATGATAGCTGCAGATTCAAGATTCAAACATTTACCCAAAACAAAAAGTTGCATAATTAATCTTCCAAAGTAATAATCACAAATTCTATATTTCATATTTAGTCTAATTATATAAAAGACCCCACTTGTGTTTCAATGTTAAACACAAAGTTCCATATACCATTTGGGCCTATGTTTCAAGTTTATAAATTGCATCTATGAACGGGAGAGAGTGATTATCAGACGCACACAAACTTCAGGAGGTAATTTATAATTTGAGAAGATAAAGAGAGCTTCCTGTTATTAGGCTTAACATCATGAGCGATTTTTGTAATTATCTTGTATTTTTTCATACTCAATTGACGGATAAAAATAATTATGACATTTTTGAAGGTTGTAGTAATTAATCTCGAACCATTTATTAACACCCATCATTATATTTGATAACTCGAGATAGACCTAAAACATAAATGTGCATAGTGTTTTAAGCGGAAGAAAGACTGGGTTGTGCTTGTGAAAAAAAAATATCAACTTTATGTTCCTCAAGAACTCATTCTGAATGCATAGTGGTAGCAAACAGGATCACAAGCATTACTTCAATCTTTAGAAGACAGTGTCGAATTACAGGCTTAAATTTAGCAGGCCAAAATAAGGGGGAAAAAAAAAACGATTAAAGCCGAACCTTTACTTGCTTCACATAAGGTACAGGAACTATGAACTCTCCAACATCCATATCCCCAATAGATCGTGAAAGACATAGCCCACCAGGCCAACATCTTAATGGACCAATCTACAATACGAAAAAAGCAAAATTGGTTAGATTTAAAGTATCATAGTTGATATACATACAGATGATATATATTTGAGCCTGACGGTAAAAATATAAATTAGAACACACCCAGAAGGAAATGCAACTTTGTGAAAAATAATAAATACAAGCACCACTTAAATTTTTCCACCAAAAACATATAAACCCTTTAACTTATGTTATGTAAAATTTTCAACTGAAAGAAAATGACGTTTGATATCACAAGCTCAAATACTTTTAAGAGGAATGTTAGTCAAAAAGAGTTTTACAATACTAGTATCTATAAGCACAATGTATTCAAGTACAAAAAATGTATTCAAGTACAAAAAATGAATAGGAAGAAAATCACCTCAGTGCCACCACCAGTATTAAGCCGACCAACCTCACCACCGCTAGCTGTTATTCTTACACGCCTGTTTCATCAACATTCAAAACCTCAAACCTTATTGAAAAGAATTCATTCATGATTTTGTATCAGCTGAAAAGAGGATATAGAAACACTAGCCTGAAGTTTAGTCTAATTTAAAAAAAAAAAAAAAATCTAATATTTATTTCATAATCACGAAAGAATCCTTGAACACAATAACCCGCCTAAGAGTTGCATAACAAGTACCCACAATTGATAATGAATTTGCCAATGTTTTATGGGTGTGTGTAACTAAAATTAATAACTAGGTTCTATTATAATTACTTACTCCTCTTCACTGCATTCAAGTCTATGATCTGCTGACAGATAATATATTCCACCCTCAGCAGATTCAAGTATGGCACGAGAATCACCGACTGATGCAACTGTTAAGATCCATCCTTCGATTATTACAAAGGTCACTGTTGTTCCTGAAGTTCGTGCTGAGACAACACCAAATCAGTAAATGAGCAGCGGTTTTAATATCAAAGAAAGAGGAAGCGTGAAAATATGGATTAAAAAAAAATTAACGGGACAGCTGGAAGATTACACAACTAGAAAAAGTGAAAACACGAGCCAACAAAACATATGACATAACAGCTGAAAGACTACATTACTAGAATAAACTACTTGGACTTGTCCATGACTAAATGGATCTCATAGAACAAGAATAATTTCGCAGGTTACGAATAAAAGTTCCCCACCTTACCAGCAATTACCACAGAAAGTTCAATTAAACGATATCAAATCCACCAAAAGAACCAATACTCAGGATTCATATATGGCTAGCCAACAGGGAAAAACCAATCATGCAAATTGTGTACGCTTCTTCAGACAAATCCCTCAATCGAAAAATTACAACATCATTTTAGCTGAAAATAATAATGGATATCAAAACTACCCTTAAACCATTTGACTAAATTCCTGTCTTTGCCAA